TTTTTTTTTTTTTTTTAATTTCTCTTTTTGTTTTTACCAGGCTGGGGATGGACCTCGGTCCTCACACATAGTAAGCAGGGGTTTTACCACTGAGTGGCATCCCTAGCCCCACTTTTTTTTTTTGTAGTACTAAGGAGTGAACACAAGTTCTTTGCCCTCAGCTACATCCCCAGCCAACACCCGCCTTTTTGCTTATCTAGCTTGTTTAAGAGTCTTGCTAAGCCACTAACTTGCCCTTTAAGTTGAGCCATTAAATTGTCTGGACTCAAACTGTGATCCTCCTGCCTCAGCCTCCCAGGGTGCCTGGGATTACAGGCCTGTACCACTGTGCTTGCCTCCCACATCATTTTTTAATTATAAGATTGTAGGAGTTTATATTTTACTTGTTTTCACTTTTGTGATACTGTGTATAAATTTCTCAATTTTGGCATATCCAAATTTCTACAACCATTCGAGTTGCAAACTTTCACTGTTGTACTGTGTACGACTCACATTGTTGGACTTAGGGACAAATCTGACTTACAAACATTCTCCCAGAACAGAACTCATTCATAAGCCCGACAGACTTACTGTATATTTGAGAAACGTACCCGGAGGCCTTACAAATGTTCTATTACCCTGTCTTCCATACTTCTTGTGGTCCTAGGTTCAAGTTTCAAGACTTAACTGATAGCGTTGCTGATCGTGTGGAATTTCATCTATGTCTGTGGATTTCATTTCTGGCAAAGGTGGCGGGGTTCCCCTGTACGTGCATGTCTCCAGCCATTCAGAGGCAATCCTGTGGTGTCTGTGACAGACCCGAGGTCTGTAGAGTGAGGCTGGGATAGGCTAACCTGCATGCATCCCAGCTCTAATATGCGAGTTGCTCTGCAAAGCCTTTGCAAAATGCACGTTGAAGCCACGACCCACAGAAGGCCCACTGAACCTTGCACTTTTTTTAAGTGTTGGAGATGTAACCCAGGCCCTCACCCATGCTAAGTACTTTACCACTGAGCTGTGTTCCCAGCCTTGAAATTTGCACACTGAACCCAACTTTGTCAGTTACCTGGTCAAACACCTATTCTCCACAGGTTTTACAGACTCAGGGTGTCACAATAATAAAAGTAGGCAGAATATGCCAGGCCTGGTGGCACATGTGGGTAATGCCAGCTACTCAGGAGGCTGAGGCAGGAGGAGTGCACGCTGAGGCTACCCTGGGCAACTATGACCCTGTCTCAAAATTTAAAAAAAAAAAAGAAGAAAAGAAAAAGAAAAAATAGCCAGGGATGTAGCTCAGTGTGAAACCCCTGGGTTAAATCCCCAGGAGAGGGAGAGAGGGAGGAAGTGAGAGGCACCAAGAGTCCCCTAGTGCCCCTAGGTTCGATCTTCATACCAAAAGCAAAATGAAACAAGTCAGATATCTCAAACAAAAACAAGAAACCCAAATTATTTTCCATATGAACCTAGGGGACTGTGTGACAATTCCAAAAGGGTCTTAGAGGAAGAGGAGAAAATCAGTAAAAATATTGGATAAAATGATAATTTTCTTAGATTTGGTTTAAGACGTGAAGGTTCAGAAGTTCTGGGTAGGGGAAAGGAATGGAATTAATATGAGAAAATGAAAAATATGGAAACAAAGTCTTTGTAGACTGGGAGGGAGGGAGGAAAGGAGAATGGGGGAAAAAAATAAGAACCAAGGTGGATTATGTAAAGGCACAGATTTCCAACAATGAATGTCATACTGTATACCTTCAATGTGCCAATAAAATTAATTTTTAAAAATTTCGGTGCGTCTAAAACATGGTAAAGCTAAAGAAAACGAAGGCCAAACATACGAAACTAGTGAAAGCTAAAGAGATTTCTTTATAATACATACGACTGTTGAAAATAACTATAAAGTGGAGATTTCAAATTACGCAGGAACAGTAAGAATTACAATAAAGGTCTGGGGGAATGTGACTTGTATGTTAGGTGCTACATCAATTTCAATGGCAAAATGATCTAAACTTGGAAACGTGACACTTTCTCTCAGCCACTGCTTCCTCAAATCCAACTAATGCCCTGTGGCAGTGCTGGGCCAGTCTCCTCATGGTCCTGCTTTCTCTGTTGCTGCCATTTCAGTGACACACAGTGGGGTAAAGGGGGTGGGAGTGCGGGCACACCTGTTATAACAGCGCTCTAGGAGGCTGAGGCAGGAGAATTTAAAGTTCAGACTCAGCCTGGAAAACAAGACTCCGTCTCAAAAATAAGAAAGGGCCAGGGATGTAGCTCAGTGTGAAACCCCTGGGTTTAACCCCTAGGTGGAAGGAAGAGTAAGAGGGAGACTGACTCGTGTGATTAGATGTCCAGTAAGGAAGAAATGTACATCACATCTAGTTCTGCACTTGATTTGGTTACCACAGAAAATACTCAGAATTCCAAATTTGACTGAACATGTGAAGGGTTTGGCAGATGATGAACGTCAGCATTCAATCAGATGGAGTTTCATGTACAAGATCAGAAACATCTACAATTAACATGATTTCTTCAAATGTGGCTTAATAAACATGGACATTTAGTCATTCCTGTAATCCCAGCCCTGGGGCTGAAGCAGCAAGATTCAAGTTCAAGTCCCACCTGGGCAATTGAGCGAGACCCTGTTTCAAAATTAAAAATAAAAAAAGAGGATAGGCTCTGTGACAGATCGCCCCGGTTCAATTCCTTGGTGTCTGTGTCGCTATACCCGCCCCGCCCCCACACACACTGCACAAACACTTAAAACTACTGGAAAATAAGAATCGATTTTGTTATGTAAAGAATGGGAAGTGGAAGGGAGACTGATCTTTCATTTGTTTCACTTACTACAGGGATTAGAGGAACGTGGGGAGAGACTGGTAAAAAGATGTTTTGATGAGCTGGGCGTGGTGGTGCACCTCATCCCAGCACTAGGAAGGCTGAGGCAGGAGGATCACCACAAGTTCGAGGCCAGCCTGGACTACACAGTGAGTTCAAGGCCGGCCCGAGCTACATGGCTAGACCCTGCCTCAAAATACGAAAAAGTTTTGAACAAACTTGCGGATGAGACCCCAACCTACACGGTCATTCTAGTCCAGTCGGTCGTCCAAGCCCAATGCGCAGCCCCGCCCAGAGACCGCGTTGTGCACTAACTACAACCTCAGGGCCGTTTCTGCGCTCTCTCCCGGTGGAACCAAACCCGGAGCCTTACCCTGTCCAGGCAGGAGGAGCAAACTAGACTTTGAGCCAGATGCGGTCCAACTCTACAGAGGGAACGGGCTCAGAGCCGGCACCCGCCTTTGCCGGAAGCGGAAGTGACGTCATTCGCATCTGTATGACGCAGTTCCGTCGGACGGGGCTCCCCCTTTCTTTCTCGGTTGTGGGTCCCTTCAGTTTGGGACGAGTTCCACGTCGAGGGGCATCCCGAAGGTGGTTTGTTTTTTTGGGGGGGAAGAGGGGGTCCCTGAGGTTGAAGGACGGCGTTGTGCGGAGCTGCCGCGGAGCCCGGACTGCTCGGGCTGCCTGTCGGGCTCCGGGGAGCGGGTCTGCAGGGGTCGTTACGCTGCAGTCTCCCGGGTGTCCCATCCACTGCTTCGTTCTCGTCCAAAGCCTCCAAAGCAGCCTTTGTCTAAAGAAAAATATTTTCGCGAGAGTAAAATCATTTTCCGCCCCTCAAGTCACGCCGACGACGTCCCCGGCGTCCCGCCGCCCCATGGACCTGGCGGCGGCGGCGCGTTCAGGTGAGCGCTGGGCAAGGCTGCGGGTGGGGCGCTCACACGCACGCAGGGGTTCAAGAGGAGCCCCTCAGTACGCCGACGCCCCCCCCGGCGTCCCGCCGCCCCATGGACCTGGCGGCGGCGGCGCGTTCAGGTGAGCGCTGGGCAAGGCTGCGGGTGGGGCGCTCACACGCACGCAGGGGTTCAAGAGGACCTCTTGCCCCTTTTCTTAGGTAAGTGAATCGGTAACCTGAGAATTCGTCTCTTCTTTTCGCATCGGGTAGTCATTTTTCACCCGTTACCGTTAGGGTTTAGATCTGAAATGTCCCCGGGGCCGGAGATTTAGCTCAGTGGCAGCGCGCCTGCCTCGCAAGCGCAAAGTCCTGAGTTCGACCCCCAGTACCTGGATAGACAACATAAAATTTTCAGAGCTTTCTCTACCCTAGGGCCCAAGGCACACTCTCTGAGTTTTGCAGGAAAAGTGTCCTATTTTCCTCTCTCTTTCAGGGAACCAGAAAGCAGTGCCTTGAATCTCTTGGTTTGCTAGCAGTACTTCTCTAAACATGACTGTTTTAGCTGAAGTCAATTGTAACCTGTGCTTTGGGGTACTTACTAGAGCAAGGAGACGAATTGCCTGAGGAAGACAAGATTGGGTGCTGGTAAAAGGTAGATAGTCCAGTCTGGTTTTATTTTCTGGGTCCCTCTCCGGATGGTAGCTACCTACCCTGGAGTGGAATAAACCTTGGGGGACGCCCTAGGGGGCACAGGAATCAAGCAGGGACTTGCAGGACGCCGTATTTGTTTCTCTTGTTTCGGATCAGGAACTCCACATCTGAACCTCACACTCCTTTCGACTGTATGAGGAGCAATTTAGTATTTCTCTACACCAGCGAGTGGTGTGCCTGCCTCCTAAAGCCAAGTACACAGCGGAAAATACTATGATGCTACCTCACAATTAGAATTATACTATAAAAGAGAAAAAAATGTTGAGATTTTCTTTACATTAAGAAGTAATTCTTGGGGGCCGGGGATTTAGCTCCGTAGTTCTGCCACCTGTCTTGCAAGTGCAAGGACCGGAGTTTGATCCTCAGTACCCCCCCCAAAAAGAAGTAATTTTTGCATGTGTTAAAGTGGAAAAGTAATGAGAGACCTTCACCCTTAAGACGTTCAGTACCTCTAAGTCCTGAAGCTACTCCTTGCCCTGTAGAACCTGAGAACAAAGTTTCTAAGACAACTTTAAACCTTGACCACCAGGTGCTGAGGATGGAGTACCTAGGCCAGCCATAATTAATCTCTGTGAGGCTATTTCCATCCTTAGCTAAGTTGTTCGGGTCCTTCAAAGACAATATCCCTTGCGGGAAGTAAATGGTGAATATGGGACTATTTGTGTTCATGTGTCTTTTTCTCGGTGATCTAAGACAGATTAAATGAGACCTAATAAAGTTTTTGGATGAACCTGGTATGTACATCAAGGTCTTTAGAGAACTTGCTCAGACCTATGGACTAGATTAGAAAGACGTCATGTTGCTCTTAAATCAAACAATGATTTTTTAACAAGAGACAACTAGTATTACATTTAGAGACAAATATTATCTTAATTTTGGAAGCTCAAAAGACAGGCAGCCAGGGGAATAACTGGTTTCTCCTGGAACACAAGCAGTTCTTATACAAGACTCCTACTGGCCTGCCAATCACATAGGAGATTGAAATAGAAGGCATTTTCAGGCAAATATTCTTAAAGGTCTAAGAAACATGAGAACTTAACCCTTCAGTTATTTTAAATTGTCAACTATTTATCAGAAAGAGATGAGGACATCCCTAGATCCTGATTTGATAAAACGAAATGCTACAGTTTTTCCCAAGTTATCTTGCAATATGTAGATGGTATAGCGTTATGTGCCCCCCTCTAGCCAGGACACCTGATTAAAGGTCTAAGACATGAGAACTTAACCCTTCAGTTATTTTAAATTGTCAACTATTTATCAGAAAGAGATGAGGACATCCCTAGATCCTGATTTGATAAAACGAAATGCTACAGTTTTTCCCAAGTTATCTTGCAATATGTAGATGCTATAGCGTTATGTGCCCCCCTCTAGCCAGGACACCTGTGTTCTGCTGAATTTTCTAACAGACAGAGGTTATCATGTTTCTAGGTCTAAGGCACAACTTGTAGCCTTGAGGTGAAATACTTAGGCTTTATTATATCTAAGGGAACCCAAAGACTGCGAAATGCTACAGTTTTTCCCAAGTTATCTTGCAATATGTAGATGCTATAGCGTTATGTGCCCCCCTCTAGCCAGGACACCTGTGTTCTGCTGAATTTTCTAACAGACAGAGGTTATCATGTTTCTAGGTCTAAGGCACAACTTGTAGCCTTGAGGTGAAATACTTAGGCTTTATTATATCTAAGGGAACCCAAAGACTGGGGGAAGAAAGAATTAAACCAATTCTTTCCACAGCCCAAGACTCTAAAATAGCTAGGAAGATTCCTAGAAATTACAGACTTTGTTGCCGTTAGATAGCAGGATATAGTGAGATTCCGTGACCCCTCTATCGGCTTAGAGAGAAACCCAAAAGACGGACGTATTTCAACCTGGGATCCTTATTCGCAGACTGCATTCCAGAGCACAAATAAGCACTTGGAAGTGTCTCATGGGCTGGGATGTACTTAGAGTGAAGGCTCTAGATTCAGTTCTCAGTATGAGACAGAGGGACAGACACAGGGAAAGATGGATGGGCAGAGTGAGGGAGTGTACAGGTAGCTGAACATGGCGCTCCTGAAGGGTAGCTCAGTCGGAGAGCCCGGGTGCTCTTTTCCCCTTCCTGTCCACCTTCTCATTGTGTCCTTTGTACTACCCTGCATAGTGAGCCAGTGCATGTGTTTGCCTGAACTCTGAGCTACGCGAGCAGGTTAGTTGAACCTGCGGTGGGGGCCATGGGGGTGGCGGGAACCCTGGTTGATAGGCAGTCGGAAGCACAGGGAAAGCAACCTGGTCTTGTGACTGGCATCTAAAGGGGGGGCCGTCCTGAGGATTGATCCCCCAACCTGTGAGATCTGCCGCTCACCTCAGGTAGTATTGCAACTGAATTGCATTAGACGACATCCAGCTGGTGTCCATGCAGAAAGAACTGTTCTCCTTTTGTCTGGCGACAAATCAGTTTCTGTGTACACTCAGGGGACGGGGATTTTCCTGGGGGGATACAAAAAGGTGGAAATCGCTGGGGTCACACTGTGTGTCAGCCCCAGCATGGACACAGCCCGCGAGATGATGTGAAGCCTCTGGGCCTCAGCTGATCTATAACCCACAGGCAAGCAGCGCTCACTGCTGCAGGGGGTGCAGCAGGTGCTGGGCATCTGGAGAAGCAGGAAGCTTTGAACGCATGTCATTTGCCTTGGGAGAAGTGTGGCAGGACCACTTCGGGACGTGTGTGGACTTAGGCTGCATCTTGGGACAAGATTAAGCCCCCAGGACCTGTGTGTTGTGGGTGGAGCCCCACCAGAAATCCTTAGCCCTGCATCATGGGTCCCCCATCCATGGCTGCACTCAGCAAGAGAAGTTCTTTCCTTTTGCTCATCCCTCCAGTGCCTCGAGTATTGAATGAGCCAGACATGTAGTGTCAAAGCTACCTGACTCGGCTCCAGCCCATCATCCAAAGCAGTTGCTGAAAGTAAATCCGAAGCTGAGAAAAAGAAATTGATAACAGACACAGTCTACGCTTTGCTCAACGTCTGTAGGCCCTTTTCACACACATTTGAATTCCCCCATGATACTAAAACAAATGTAAGTTTCTGTCTAATGGTGTGCAAGGGAAGAGGTCCTCATCCCTCCCTGTGGAATGGAGGTGTACACCCCCCATCAGAGGCCATATTATCCTCATTCTCACAGAATTTTGTTACCTAAGGACTAAATTCTGAATTTAACTTCTAATAATTACACGCCAGATAAGAATGTGAAGGAGACAGAGATGATTAGTTTATATGAATACATGTGCATATAAACACATCTGCCAGGAATATGTTCTGTGGGTTGTAGTCGATGTACAAGTACATAGTTCACTGCCTCAGTGACAATTCCATATAACCCTTGCCTCTGCTAGAACTCCTGGGCTCTGTACCTCTTAGTGAACCAAATTTTGATTCACAAAGAACCTTAAATCTTCCCATGACTTTCCTTTTTGTAACTGTTTTACTTCGGCAACATTTTCTTTTTTCTTTCTATTTTGTACTTTAAAGGGAGGAGGTCTTACTATACTGCCCAGGTTGGCTTTGATCTCCTGGGCTCAGGCAACCCTCCTGCCTTGTTATCTTAATCACTTTTCTCGTTGCTGGGACAAAATACCTACACCCACAACTCAAAGGAGGTCTATTTTGGCTCAGTTTATAGAGGTTTTAGTCCATACTTGTCTGGCTCCAAGGCAGGGTGGCCTGGTGGAGGGACCCGGGTAGAGGGTAATTGCTCAAGGTTTGGTGGATGGGAGCAGAGCAGGAAGGGAGGAGCCGGGGAGGGAGAAAGTCTTCCAGGCCACAGCCTCAGCAGCCTGCCTCTTCCGGCCAGACTGCACACCCCTAACAAGCCAGCTATAAGCTTCATACCCTTGATTTATGAATTCAATTCATCTGCAGAAGCTGGCTACAACTCAACTTGGTTGTAAGCCAAGACTATTTTTCCCATAAGAAATAATAGAAATACCCACAATGCATTCCAAATCTCTCAAAGCACCCCTTAACCTTTTCATAATTAAAAAGGGGTTATATAATTTACCAGACACAGGCCGGGCATGGTGGCGCACTCCTGTCATCCCAGCACTCGGCAGGCTGAGGCAGGAGGATCACTGTGATTTCAAGACCAGCCTGGGCTACATAGTGAGTTCCAGGCCAGTCTCAGCTACATAGTGAGACCCTGTCTCAAACCCCCCCCCCAAAAAA